ACGTAGTAGAGGCGACTAGGTGACTGGCCAGTGGAAGCTGTCGCCACTACTGACTGACTAGCGAGTTTCCCTGGTCAGGGAGATAGCCACTTGGAGGTGTACAACGTAGAGCCTTGTCTTTGAATTTTGTGTGGTATTAGCAAAATCGGCTGGGATTCCGAGAAGGAGGGGCGGATTACGTCAAAGTCACGTTGGAGCCAACGAGCGGGCGTTAGCGGTTGTTTTTTTAGTAAAACAAACTTTTGTACAGCGATGTGACTGATAATGATAGGGAAAAAGATGATACTGAGCATGAAAAAGAGCAGCTTACAAGTGGTACAGCCTTCTCTCTGATGACTGGCTAACACACCTGCTAGATATTCGCGGTCTGATGGCGACACAGACACCTGAATTTTGCTTGATTTTGAGTGGTCTCACGATTTGCAGGTGTCTTTTTACCAGTCCTCATTCAGCCCGAGTACACCAGCTCTGATTAGTTCAGAACAAAGCGGGGACTCCCGTTTTACTTTTGTCGGAGTATATTAGCCGACCGGCCACTATTCTGATCTCAATCCATTGCTCTGTCAACCATTAAAGAAGCTTACTCACGCGGAAGGCTACGTGACAAATACACCCTTGACCAACCGTGGGTGACCAGCTTCTGGCAAACCACTTTCGATGGTGTACGAGGGCCTCCGAACTAAGGTGAAGCTGGGAATTGGACTTCAGTTTTGGCTAATAGAAAACGAATGGTTGCTTCATTCCCAAAGGGTCAGCGTCCTTTATTTATCTGCGCCGGACTGTCATGAATACGAACAGTAAAGTGTGCCATTTGGTGGGAGTATGAAATTTTTTATCTACACTGTGGTTGCATCTGGATTCGTATTTTCTGGGCCACACTGGTCATCAGATCATCAAGTGTTTCAAGCCTTGGAACAAATCTGTACTCTGCCCACTGCTCAACACAACACGATTTTTCTGAGTGCGCCATTCTGCTCTGCACACCTTCATGATGTGGTTCAACCATCGTTAACGGTAAAAGAGATGACCAAAATAAGGAATCAGGCCCACAGCCGACCCCGGAATCCAAACGGTTTCGTGTCATTCGATGAAGCCTATGGCAATCCGGAAACCGCCACCACGAACTCTAGATACTACTTGGTCGGTAACAGTGGTTTACCAACTAGACAACTCATGGTATTGAAACTGCACGGACCTGACGTCAGGGACAGAGGCTGGTGGCTACGTACATCCCCACTTACTGATGGTCGGTTGAACGGTTGTTATTCTCAGTGATGTATTTAGTAGATAGTTCTTGCTGTCCAGCTGAAAAACTGATTTTTCAGCTTTCTCATTGAAATTTGAACACGTTTGGCCAAAGAGAGCGACCGGCGTCCAGTGCGTTACGCGTCTAAACATTTTAGTTTGTGCGCCGGTGAAAAAGGGAAACGCATTAACTTAATTGACTATGGGTGGATATCCACACGGGATGTCAACGCTATCCTGTGTGGATAGCCTTTCTCCAGCTGGCTAATAACTGAGGATATGGTAACGCCTGTTGCGAAATGATCTTATCCGAGAGAGAGATGTTCACACCTGATTGATCAACAGATCGTGATTTTGCCCTTTTGGATGGAGGAAACGATGCGTTCAGTGTTCTTTCCTGTTCCAGAAAGGTAGGGCTTTACAGCGGATAAGAATGTTACTTTAAGCGACTAGTTCTTGGTGGCGGCTTTCAAGACAATGGAAATCCATACCTTGTAGGAATAAATTGGTCTCCAACTATTAAAACTGGGATATGTATGAATGTAACACTCCCAGTCAACAACGGATTCGGCGGGCTTGCCATATTCTAGCTCTGCGAGTAAGTGACCGGAAGTCTTGCTTTGCGGATCTGCATGATCATGTGGCACCACTAGGAGGAAATAGGTACATTTGAATCTCCTTTTGTGGTCCAAATACCTGAACCCCGTTTGACTGGAGGAGATAGTTCTTGCAATTTGATTTCATAATTTCAGCGAGTCACAGAAGACTTCATTGTCGCGATATTTTTATCGAAAAAATTAGAACCTCGTGAAGCAAACATCCGATGATACGTTCGCGAAGGAAAGTGAAACGAAATTTGTGGACAGAATGCACTGGAGTAGGGAAAAGGAAACTTGCCGGTCTACTTCACGTCCTATTGATTTGTAATGAAGTATTCCATCATGTGTCCTTCATTCAAATAGCATCCTTCTATCAGAAAGGTCAGATTCCTGAAAGCAATCTCAGAATGCCCGGAACCTAGTGCTCCACCAAAAACTCAACTGGAAAGCCGGCAGGCCAGTCAATCATTCAATCAATTCAGCAAAACCTGATGGGTGTTCTTACACGCCACAGAAGCATGACCGAATGTGATCAGCGTTCAGGCTCTACATAGAGGCACGATCGATGTTGATGGGTGTTCATTAACGCCTATCAAACAGCTTGGATCAATGTCGGAAAGTCCCCTTTAGATAGCACGAGGCCGTGGTAACTTTTGCTTTCGCACTCTTTTGTTCGGGATATAGCTGTTGTGTCCCCTTCTGTGAGTCTTTTTCGGCAACTAGGTACTAGAGCGGGTCAGCAGCAAATACCACAGGTTGACGAATCAGCAGATATAACACCTTCTAACCCACAAGATGGAGCGCGATTACACGCGCATTCACGGAAATGCTGGACAAATAGGGCCTGGTTTCCAAAAGGCTAGGTAAGCACCCAAGAGGGTCAACGGAAGATTAAGGGTATTAGTGCACAGGTGACGATATCCACATACAAATTAGGTGTATGCACTAATAAAATTCACGTCGGGCTCACCAATTATTAGTGCACAGGTGACGATAGTCATAATACAAATCAAAAGGTGAATGTGCACTAATAAAAGTTTTTAGCATTTCTGTGGCACGTATAAAGATAAATACAGTGCGAAAAAGGGGAGCAAGTCAAAAAGGAAACTTATCGTATATGAGAGTTTGTTGGTGGAAGTCCGGACGGCGGGAACGTGTTCTTCTCCGCAGTTAGACTGCTACACGTACTCCATGGTTATCCGTGGACTTGTGGAGAGGTTGACGTCCTGCTCCCTGCGCCCGCGCGAGTCTGTGTCCTGATTGGGTTCGGTTTCCCTTTATGTACGTCCCAGTGCATATACGTGGGAGCGTCGGCACATGAGTGGTTGCTACGCTGACTAGGCGGTGCAGACAATCGATGTCCGATGAGTCAGCTTAATGCGACGTGTTTGTGCGTATGAGAAAAAAGACAAGCCTTGCGATCCAGTGAGCGACTGTGAGTTGAACAGTCAAGTATGTGGGTGACTGGGTCGCTACAAGGGCACCGAGCAGGATTCTCATGTGCGGGTCCTCATGAGCAATATGATTTGTCGCCGCAAACAGGACGTGGAGTTCATATGCCGGATTTTCATTCTGGGTATGTTTTCGCCCAATTTCAGCTTATTGGCCATTTCGAACTTCGCCATTAGATTGAAGCTTACGAAAGTTTATTAGTTTTCAACCATTTAATCTGTCAAGTTCCATCTACTCGGACTGGTTGGGATCAGTAAGGACTGGAAAACTCCAACTTGCTTTCGAGCACTTTCATACATCCGAAATGCGCCAAAATAGTGGCGAAGTACGTAACACCGTGTAGTGCTCTTTTTTGCGTATAGAAGCTCCCGACCAAGTAGGGTTTTCTTTTTCGACTGCCATGAGCCCTCAGTTCTTCGGTTAAAATGCAAAGCCATCGTGAAACAGGGACGACCTAAGGAAAGTGTTTATTTGGAATGGTGATAACTGTTCACCGTAATTACAAAAAACAAGGATTCTTGGCGATAAAAGCACAGTTGCAAGTATAATTGGCGTTAACATGATATTCAGCTGTAATCCAACTAAACATCTCGTTCTTCACCTCAGATATGTAATTCGGTGTTTAGGTATGACACAACTTCAGCGAAAATTCACGGGCTTTCCACGTCAGACGAGCCCCAGAAGTGGGAAACTGGTGGCGGTCTGTTCAAATTTTCCATTCACCCTACAAGTAATGTGATCCATATTAAAATGATCCTTTAATTCAGTGGATGGCGTTGAACAGAAATGGATCTTGTATTTTTACGTGAATGTAGCACGGTTTGCACATCAATGATGCTGGCAGTGACAATGGTGACAAGCCAGCAAAGCTGGTACTAAGGGAAACTGGCGATAATTGTGTTAGATGCATCATTTGTTGGGCAGGGCAGCCGATGAATGAACTCACCAGACCCGCGAAGCGTTTCCCAAACATGCCACTAATTACTTATCCCTCGCTCTTGGTGTAAAATCCGTTTAGGATTTTGATGGACATGTGCATCTGAATGGTTTCATTTACTAGGTATTTCAAACACGAAATCAGCCTGCGGAATCGCACTAAATTCAAACTATAGATGGGCTGTCGGGAAACGTCTTACAAGCTGTTGAAACCTTCCATCTGAGAAGCCGTCACGCGAGGATACAGTCAACAAGTGATCACATGATGTTCATTGCTTAATGAGCGTGATTTAGTCACCCTGCTGTTCCGCCAATCTTGCACAAATTCTTGAGTGTTCATCAACCAGCCGGGTGGCCAGGGGTTTTAATATCCCTGAAATTTCTTGAGATGGTGATTCCCAAAAAGGCCGAAATAACCGTACGTTGCTCTTCGGCTTGTCAATGTAGATCGGCTTCGCTTACAGGACGAGCTGACAATCGAAAATCCCCAAATTACATGCTACTAACCACTAATAAGTAGCTCAAACTGAAGAATGATGCAGACAACGAGGAGCCATTCAACGTGCGACCCCGTGATGTAGAGTTCCTTACTGAAGGGCGAATGGCGTCATATGCTATGAAAGTGTTTATAAGCCACTTGTGGCTGAACGGCGTAATATTTAGCTACCGCCCCCGTGAAGCTTTTGAGGTGCGTATTTTGATGATTCCCAACGAGGAGGAAACAGCCGATCAGTACCTCTCAGCAGCGTGGTACTGACTGGGTTCATTTGAATTAAAGAATCGCCATATACCATCATCGTATTTTACTTAAATATATTTTGTCGCATCGTTTACAGTTTCTCTAGCGACCCATGTTAACAATTCGTTGAGCTGACAATCGTTCATACTACCGCCTTTGTAAAGGCCAGACCGATTGTTGGTTGCCGCTGGATAGAGATGTTTGTTCGGGCTACGTGTGTGTGTGAATCAGTTTCCTTGGCCGTCTATCCGAGTAAACAATGAGTTTAATCCTCCCCTTACATGTGACGATTATGAACTACTCGTCCCGTCATGAGGAGATTGGATCTTACCGTGGCGTGACGATTTGCGCACCTCGGCGACCCATTGACCTATACTGGGGGGTTTCCACGCGACACTTACAGAGTCCCTCATACTAGGTTGGTCACTGGTTAGGGGTATGAGGAGCAGAGTCTACTGGCCTTCTAGGTTGGGGGTTGGAACATGGATACCAACATGTTCTGTAAGAATGGCAGGGTACTTGCATTTCCGGCCAAACCCCGCTGCCTTGCAGTCAAGCTTTGTTTGAGGACCCTAATCGTTCTCCCGTCTAGGTATGGGCGCTCTGCCAGTATCCCAGCCCATGTGCAACCATGAAATACGACAGCAAAGCTTCAGGGTTGAACACTAATATGTTGATATCCTTGATGATGATGACGGACTACTAACCAGGCATGTAGGTGACATTAAAACTGACTCTTGTTCACGATCCGCCCTTGTTCCCTCAGGTTTACACAGCGCGTTCAGCTGGTTTAACGCACGGATCAACGCAGACCGCACGTAGTATAATCTATTCTGCTAGGGGTCCATCGAATTAGTACAACGTGACAGACGAATCTGAAAATGGATACCACTTAACTAGGTTTGGATGAGAGGTATGAAATGGGTGCTGAAGACAGGTGTTGCCAGTCACGGTAAAGTGATACGTACCCGAGCAGATGCCGACCGCTAATCGATTAGCTTCCTATCGCCTGGGTCGAAAAAGAATATAAAACTGCGCTTGGTTCGCTTTTTCGTCCGATGCAATGGAGAACTAGATACGAACAGAAACACGCACGATTCACTTCGCCACTCTTCAGATTTCACTCTCCGTACACGGAAAAAGTCCGCAATGCTTACTGTTTTGTGTCCGTATGTGAACTCAGTTAAAAGAGTAAAGTTCGAATCCACATGGGTGGTACGCGGCAGGTGTGGTAAACATCGTGTTTTTTTCCTATTAACGATGAGAATCTAAGGACGATCCACTGCCAATTTCATACTGTTCTGAACTCGTTTGCATAATCAGTTCATTCGAAGCCAGTTTGAGGTCTCAGGTTAGCACTGACTGAGCATGCTAATGAGATGAAAACCCATCAACTGTCAATGTGGCGTTCAAGCAAGAAAAACGACTCACTTGAATTTGAGGACTAAAACTGCCTGATGATGCTTAGCCAAGGAATCAGCGAGTTGCTATCAATCCTATAAGTAGCATGGTCTGTCAACGAAAAATGCCTGTAAATTCATTTAGTGAATCTTGAAGACGGATTTCGCTGAAAAGCAGCTTGGAGAGACTCATGTCAGTCGGTGCCCAATCCCCAGTTTACACCAGATGAGTATGTAAGCGCGTTAAAAATACGACTCTCCAAGGATCTCACGAAACTGACCGAAACAGCGATCAATGAAGTTTTGAGTATGCTGTGTGCTCTCTTAGGATGCACCATCCGTGATCGGTCTGGCAAGATGCTTCCACATGCAAGTTGCGTCATTGAGAGACCTACAGAAGCGAATGGATAAAAAATCACCTCTATCTTACTGAAAAAAATTGAACAATGCAGTTATACTACTGATGGAACCGGTCACAAGACGGAGGGAGGGATGGACACTGCAGGAAGGAGTTACAGTACTTGCTGCTATCAGTATGCAAATATTTCCCGAAAATTTGGCGTTATTCCGATGATCATTTCAGGCTACAGTCAAACTTCCTAAGATTATTGAAACGCCAGTTCTTCTCCATCAAACCACTGCCTCTCCCGAGAAACCACGGTGAATAACACATTGAAATGCTTGCCTGTTGAATTCGCTTCCCTAACAGACACAGAGGTTTGACAAAGTTACGAACAGATTTTGGGGGCTCACAGATTCCATCGCAGGAGAACCACCATAAAACTGATAGAAATAGTCCTTTCTTGCAAGAGCTGTTTACGAGTAGAATTCACTCCCTCTAACTGAAGCGCTTGAACCAATGTGCCCGGGACTTCATCCTTCGGAGACTCTGAAATTTACTCGGCTCATTCTTGAATGACGTGACCTGATAAAATGAGATGAGTGCAAATAGTTGTGCACACTGAATCATCCATACGAGAGTGTAGTATTTTCGGTCGAACTTCCAATTTTGATCTTTACTGACCGTGTGGTTCCGCCTAGCTTCACAAGTGGCATCCGCAAATAGAGCGCGTTTATTGCTTCTTAGTCATTCGGCGAAGTTCAACAGCTGATGACGTCACGTCGCATACTCTGCACCATGTGACATTCTGCTATTCCAAAGCTGAGTAGTGTTCAGTCACAGAGATAGTATGGCTGAACACAAGGGGAATACGTTGAAAGCGGCAACTGTCTCGCGCTGTACTAGCACGGGATGGTGGTGAACTCGTCACCAAAAGCAGTTCTGCTGGGGTTTTTTTATGAACTTTTTATGAAAAAAGGGAGAGTCTCTATATTGTTAGCTGAGCAATAAGTTTCGTAGTGTTCTTAAATCAGGATTCACGTGTCCGAGACTATCCATACGATACAGCAATTGAGGGCTCGTTTTGTGTGGTAGTGAGATAACCAGATTGAAGGAAGACTTTCTCTCTGAACCGGAAGCGAACACTCAATTACTTTTATATGGACGAATAGTTAACTTTGATCTGCAGTAATCAAGCTAAGCAGCGACCGACCTAAGAACTGGTCAGAACCATCCACCTTTCAGATTTATCTCGACTGTTATTCCCCTTTAAAAAGTATGCATCTCACGAGTAGACCGTCTGTGGAGGCCTCGTTGGAATTGTTTTAGAGACACAAGTAGAGTTTGGCTAAACTCGGCGCCACGATGAGTTTATGGTGGGATGTGAATTTTAATGAGACACAAGGTGGACTTGCCAATCGATGATCGCCCAAATGTAAAAGACTCTGGAAAAGGCGGATGACCTCATGGGTGTTCCATGTTTATGTTGTAGATGAAAGCTACCGCAATGGTCCTCAACCCTAACAACTTTTTATTCAGTCAACTGACGTTTAAGCCCAGGGTCCCTTTTCAGCCATTTACGGTTGCAACAGCCCGCAGGATAAGATCCTCTTATGTTTCGGAATTCGGCCGGTTTTCCAGGTAGCGTGTCGTTTATTTTCGGTGGTAATTAATACGGTCAACTATAAGAATGGTCTCAGGAATTTGAAACCAGGACTCGAACCCAGGGGTGAGTATACTTTGTGCTGGGGGGCCCGAGAAACCCCAAGTACTTTCACTCATGTTGCGGCCAACCTTCTCCGCTAATACATCGTTCGTTGCCCGAGTAACACAGATTGATAGTTGCATCATGGGGGAGAGGGGTTCCGTCGATATTTGACTGCAAAACGATGACTTCGTCAGTGACCAGTTAAAAAAAATAAAATCGTCCAGCTGTAGCACTCTTTCGGTGCCTAGCTGCCATGCCATCCAAAGGAAGCACGAGGGCTGGGATACTGCCCGGTTGCCCAAGCCTAGACAGGGACCGGTTAAGCCGACGAAGATGCATTTTGACGTTTCCAGTCAACGGAAGTTGGTATGGACTAGAGCTGTATTCAACAGAGCAAGACAACATCAAATCGATATGTGTTTAAGGTATCAGCACTATTCAGTAAGGGTTGCGATCTAAGGTCACAGGTAGCTCCAAAAGTAGACATATTGACACTTGTTGAGTTGAAGCTTTTCGGCAAATGGGATGCTGGATTCGTTGAATCTCTCCATTTGAAAGTCCCACGAAGCACTGATGAAGGATGGTTCTGGCAGCCAGCGTGACAGATCGGGGGTTTTCAAACATGATTTTTAAGGATGGCGTTGCCTTCGCCAAGACTTGAACATCAAGCGTTAGTGCCAAAAAACCGCACCCCGTCTAATAATCTACGCGTGAGCCATTGTCTTCCACGAATTCATTTGCAATCTCGAGGCAGGGCACTGACCAAAGCACGAAATGGAAGGTCCGAGGTTCAAACTTAAGCGCAGCACCTCAGTTGGTTTGGGGAACTGAAATCGCACAACAAATAATCGTTGTTGATAGCGCAAAAATCCGCGAAATTAACCCCACGAATCGGTCCCAGTCTCCGCTTAAAAAGCAATAGGGGCCTTCCCAGATTAGTCTAATCGAACGTTCTGCATGCGACTGAGTATCGAATTGGATAGGATAACTACAAAGTATCGACGAAACCCTGTTTGAATGAGGATAAGTATGCATCCACTTGGTTTCCAACCCAAAAAGAGATATGGTCTTGATCGCTGTTCTGTTGGCTGAGCTTGGTAGTTTGGTTGCAAAAGTTTCGTCACCAATGCGCAGGGTGTTGCTGGTGCGTCATCGTCCAGGCGTTGAGCAGTATAAATAAATAAATAAATAAATGTATAAACCATTTAGCTGTAGCACCCTTTCGGTACGGAGGTACCTAACGGAAGGAGGCACGGGGGCTGGAATACACTACCACGTTGCCCAAGCCTAAACACAAGCAGTGGCGATGCTGAAGTTGGGTTCGAACCACGGATCTTCCAGTCCGTAAGCTGGCACCTTAACCACTGAGCTA